ACCCGTGGCCCGGAAATGAGATGAAGAACCGACCCTGAATCAAGAACCCGAGGTGCCCATGAGACCTCCGAGCACGGGTACAAGGTTGGGACGGTTTGGGGCTCACCCGTCAGAGGGTCCCCCTGCTTCCCAGCTCAGCATGGTTTTACCTGTTCTCACTCTCTGCCCTTCCCTCTTCAGTACTCTCTACTCGGCTTTGCGAGGTCCTGGGATCCGGGAGCACCTAACTGCGTCCAGGCGTCGGCATTTTCGCCCAGAGAGCCCTTCAGCACACCTCCCACCGGCGGCCCCTTCCCCGCCAGTGTCCGTCCAGCCCACTCCTGCTCCAGACCTCAGCTTCCCCAAGTGGACCCGCAGATCTCACCGTGTTGTCCTAGGGCCCACTGGTCAGCCACAAGAATGCTTGGGCTCCGTGCTTCCGTTATCTGATTCGGGCCTTCCTAGCCAAGGCAGTTCCTCTGTCCGACCCACAGCACCGCAGCCTCTTGTGATGCCGTAGGCGGGAACCACGGAAGGCGACCGATGTTTACCTTGGCAAGCTGCCCGTTAAACACTGTTACCAACCGGCCACACCTGGCGGTGCTTGAGGCCCGTGTGGTGCTGGGGATTCAACCCAGGCTTCCAGAAGGCAAAGCAAGCACTCAGCCCATTGTTTAGTTATTTTAGAGCTTCCATAAGAGGCCAAAAGCACTTACTGTACTTTTTGTACGCGGTTTTATGTCTGCTCGTTCTTAAGTGACACGGCAATAAAAATGACTCAATAATTGTGTCTGGAGAGTTGGAGAGTGGGCCATGAAACAACTTTTCTTTTTTGTTTTCTTCATCCATACTGGGCAGTGCTCAGGGCTGACTCCTGGCTCTGTGCTCAGGCATCATCCCTGGCAGCGCTCAGAAGACTTTATGGTACCAGGGACTGAACCTGGGTCCACTGCATATAAGGCAAGTGCCCTTCCTCTACTATCTCTCTGGCCCCCCAACAAATTTTTTTTAACTGAGGGAAGAGGCTGGAGATGTGGGGAGACCAGATTTGATCCCCAGAGCCACCAGGACCCCTTCCAGGTACCATCAGAGCAGCCACCAAGCACAGAACTGGAAGGAGCCCTCAATGGTCAAAAGACAAACAGAAAGATTGTGGCGGGGGCACTCTGTGGTGACCAGGAGTCACCAGTCACACTCCATAGCTCCAGTGATGCAGTGTGGCGCCCAGGGCTGAACTCAGGGCATCCTGGCCAAAGTCTTGGGCGGCTGGAGAGATAGCAAAGTGGGTAAGGCGTTTGCTTAGCACCCAGCTGATGAAGGGGGTCCATCCCTGGTACCCCATGTGGGTCCCTGAGCACGGTCAGTAGTGACCCCTGACCACTTGGGAGTAAAAACAAACAAAAATCTTGGGGTTGATAGACAGCACAGCAGGCAGGGAACTTACTTGGCACACAGGGACCTGGGTTCACTCCTTGGCCCTGAGTCCCGCCAAGAGTGATCCCTGAGCACAGAGCCAGATGTTAAGCTCTGAGCACTGCCAGGTCTGGTCTAAAGCATCAAAAACAAGAAAGTCCTTACAGAAGTAAACCTAGGGCCATCCTGGGCATAAAACGTCTTCTTTAAAAGGTACTGGGGGAGGGGCTGGAGCAACAGCACAGCGGGAATGGCGTTTGCTTTACACGCAGCCGACCCAGGTTCGATTCCCAGCATCCCATATGGTCCCCTGAGCACCGCCAGGGGTAATTCCTGAGTGCATAACCAGGAGTAATCCCTGTGCATTGCCGGGTGTAACCCAAAAAAAAAGCAAAAAGAGAAAAAATAAAAAGGCATTGGGGAAGCTGCAGAGAGAACAAGGGGGTAAGGTGCTTCCTTTTCATGTGGCTGATTCCCCGGCACCGCAAAGGGTCCCCTGAGCACCACCAGCACTGACTCCTGAGTACAGAGCAAGGAGATGCCCTGAGTACTGCTGGGTACAGCCCCAAACCAAAAATAAATAAATAATAAAACAGAATAAAGATAAATAAACACAGAGTCTGGATAGTTCTGGGCTTAAGAGGCACTTGCGAGGGCTGGAGAGATAGTCTAACAAGGGGGCACTTGCCCTGCATGCGGCTGACCCGGCTTCATCCCGGGCATCTCATATGGTTCCCCCAAGCACTGCCAGGAGCAACCCCTGGGCATTGCCAGGTGTGACACTCTCCCCCCACCCCAGCCCAACAAAAAAGGCAATAGCCTTTGCCTTGCACATGCCTGACCCTGCCCTGGCACTGCCTATGGTCCCCCCAAACACTGCCAGGGGTGATCCCTAGGCAGAGCAGGGAGTAACACCTGAGCATAGTAACTCAAAAACCAAATTAACTTGTAACCCCAAAACCAAATTAACAATAATAAAATTTTCGAAGTACAAAAATAAAACAGGGCAGAGATGGCTCAGGGGTTCAGGGGTCCAAGTGCTTGCTTTGCATCTTGCCGACTCAGGTCTGAATCCCTAGCATCACAAATGGTCCCCCCACACACATCCAGGGGTCGCTTCCAGGAACACTTTCCAAGCACTGCCCCGCTGGGCCCTAAGACCCCAATAATAAGTAAGTAAAGGAGGCGGGTTCAGGGAGGGGGCTGAGTAGGCTGCACCCTCCGAATAGCTTGAGGCCCCGAGTCTGATCCCAGGCACTGCAAACAATGAAAACACAAAGCTGTTCTAGCGGTTGTTAAGAGAAAGGTTCCCCGAGAAAAAGCAATTCCAGCAAAGGTCCGAGAAGACACTGTGGCTTCAACAGGGGCTGCAAACGCCTCCGAGAACCCGAGAACGCATTCAGAAGAAAAACGCAGCCAAGTTCAGGAAGGTCACTCAGAAACACAGCGATAGGTCAAGGATCCCAGGGACAGAAAGAGCAGAGATGATGAGGGGGAGGGGGGAGTGTTAGTAAGGAGTCAGACTGTCCCGAGGGCAGAGCGATTCCTGATGATGGGATACAATCCAAACTGCCCTTTTGTGTTTAAGAGAGGAGTCTGAGGAACAAAGCTGAAGGCAGAAAACCGGTTCTCAGACTCCAGCCTTTGAGCCTGTGAATTCCAACGACCCCCCCCCCCACCCCCATAAGGTTCCAGGCCACCCCACGCGGCCCTCCCTGCCAGGATCAGGACCCCATTTTGCAAAGGTCTGTGGCCAGGTCTTCCTTGCCACCCCCTCCCCCCAAAACCAAACACTCCTCAGGGGAGGAATGTCTAATCTACTTCCTGGGGGCCCCCCAGAGCAGCAGGGCACGGAGGGGTGCTGGGCGCCCTTGGTGACATCAGTGTAAGTACCTGCATGGGGAGAGATGGAGAGGAAGAGGGGAGCGGACGGAGCCACTCTGTGCCCCACGGCAAGGCTGAGTGTGTCTCCTCCGCAGTCCCTCCCAGACACTAGGAAGACCCAGACCCTTCTCTCAGAGCAGGAAGAGGAGGCCCAGAGAAGAGGCAGGCTTGGCCAATGACCAGGCTTCTCTGCGGAGAAGGTGGGATCCGAGTCAGGGCGCTACCTCAGAGAGGTCACAGAAGACCCAAGGGTCCGGTACTCACCGGAGGCTGAGCACGGACACGCACGGTGAAGGCTAGCCGTGGGCTGAGGAGGTGGGGGGAATGGGACGAGAGGGAGCAGTGGGTGCCGGTGGAACAGGGAAGTGGTCTCTAGTGCTCGCCAGAGGGCCTGCCTCTCACTCCCTGGAAACTGGGCGCCAGAAGGGAAGTGAGGCAACGTGAGTTCAGGGGACACCGCTCGGCACCATCCAAACCAACACAGGTCGGTGAGAAACGGGAGGCTCAGAGGAGGGGATGGATGCCTGGCACTCTGACAGAGTGGAGAAGGCAACGGGGCTGGATGGACACGACAGCAGCTAAGGCACTTGTCCTGTGCAGGGCTGACCCCCCCCATTCTATCTTCAACATCCCATTTGCTGCCCGCCCCCCTCCCCCGCCAAGCACTGCCAGGAGTGACCCTTGAGTGCGAAGCGGGAAGTAAACCCTGACATCTCTGGGTATGGACCAAAAGCAAAATAAGTAAATAAATAACTATCCAAGTGTGGGGTACGGGGTGATCCTCTGAGGGACCAGAGAGCAGGAGGGGCTAAGTGCGTGCTCTGCTTAGGTGCAGCCAACCTCAGGGTGACCCCTCAGCACCCCAGGCCACAGCCCCAGGCAATCCCCAGCCCTGTAGCATTTTTTCCCCCAGCCCTTGCTGGCAGCTGACCAGAAACGGCTGGGCAAGCCACCCACCTCAGCCCACACGTCACACACCGAAAGGATGACTTTGGTTTCTGGTCCTACCTGGCAGTTCTCAGGGGACCTTACGTGGCGCCAGGGATGGGCCCTGGGTTGCCTTACTTTCGTCTGCAAAGGACCATCTTCCGAGTGTCCCTGTGTATGGCTTACCAAGCACTTTCACCTCTACTGCTCATCTATTTTTCCCAAAAAGAGGAGGGCAATTCTAACCCCCATTTCCCAGAGCAGGCCCAAAGCTCTAGGAGGGAGGACGACTAGGTTTTAAAGCAGAACCTGGACTTCTGCCTTTTTCCAATAAGAATCCCAACTGGGTTTTTTGTTTATTTTGGGTTTTTTTTTGTTTTTGGTCACACCCGGTGATGCTCAGAGGTTACTCCTGGCTCTGAGCTCAAGAACTATACTTGGCGGTGCCCGGGGGACATATGGGATGCTGGGGTGTGTGGGGAGGATGGACTGAACATGGGTTGGCTGTGTGCAAGGCACACCTCACAGTTCTCGCGGTTTTTAACCACCTGCCTATAATCGGCTAACCCTACAACCAAGAGGTCACCCAGACAACGCTCTGGGGGCCAGAGGCCGAATTCTGGTCCCTCAATACCTAGACGCCAGTAACATTCTGTATCCTTCTCCATCCCCAGAATCCGGGTGCTTCAGGAGTGCTCAGTGCTCTCCTCTGTCCCAAGAAGAAAGCGAGGTCCAGAAAGGCGCTGGCCCGAGGCAGCACAGCAGGCTGGAGCGTCTTCCTGTGAGGCCTGGCTTACCTGCAGCACGGACAGGTTGGTCTGTCCCGAGAGGCTCAGCTTCTCCTGCTCCGAGGGGTAGGCATTATAGCGGTGCAGATACAGCCAGTCCCGCAGGATCTTCACCGACTCCTTGGGCAGGTTCCCCCTGCGCTTCCTCTTGCCGGCCAGGGAGAGGAGACCCTCGTCCTCGCCCAGGTCACTGTCCGACATGGTGTCTGCAGGCTACGCTGGGCCGGGCAACCCTGGGAGAGGGACAAAAAGGGAGGGGCAGTGATTACCCTGTGCTCATCCCCTCTCACCCTCCTCCTCCTCTCTACACCAACACCATCCCAGAGACTAGGACACGCCAGTGGGGGCAATCATGACCCAGAGCGTCTGTCTGGACAAGCTCGAAGGAATAAGTCCAAAATGCCTCCATTTTGGGGCCGGAGCAATAGTACAGCAGGTCGGGCGCTTGCCTCTCGTGCAGCCAACCCCGGTTTGATCCCCAGCATCCCACAGTGTCCCCTGAGCACAGCCAGGAGTAATTCCTGGTTGCAGAGCCAGGAATGACCCCTGACCACCACTGGGTGTGGTACCAAAATAAAACAAAGCCTCCATTTCATGGAGCCAACAGAGGACTCCTCAGGCCCTAAGATAGAGCAGAGGGCTGAAGTGCACGCCAGAGCCTCAGGTTCAAGCCCCGCACCGCCGGGTTCTCAGAGCACAAGCCAGGAGCAGATCTTAGCCCTTCCGGTGTGCCCTCCCCTCCCCCCCAATATACTGATGCCAGCTTATTAATAAGCAGTACAGCTCTAGCAATAATTACTAAGGTACTGAGCACTTTACCATTTATCATCTCTTTTAATTCTCACAAAGCTCTTGTAAGGGAGATACTACTATTATCGTAGTTTTAGAGATTAAACAAACAAGGCCCAGGGAGATTAAGAAAGCCACTGGAGGTTCCATGGCCGTTAAACAGTGTTACCATGTGACCTGGCAAATTTCATTCCTAGCAGTCTAGTGAAGACACAAGCAAACCTACACCACCTTTCACACAGATGTTTATAGAAACACTGTTCATAATGGCTCAAAGTAGAAGAAAACTAGGAGAAAACAAGGTCTCTCCATGGAGTGGACATTATCTGGCCATAAAAAGGAATGATATTCTGAGTCAGAGCGGCACTCCAGCAGGTAGGGGACTTGCCTTGCATGAAGCCAGCTAAGGTTCAATCCCGGACAGTTCCCAAGGCCTGCCAGGAATGATCCGAGACTGAGCCAGGAGTGATCCCTGAGCAGCCGCATGTGGACCAAAAAAAAAAAAAAAAAAAATGAACTTTCAATCCCTGTGGATGAATCCTGAAAATTCTGTGCCCAGTGAAAGAAAGCACATTATTCTATCCCATTTTTATGAAATAGCAAGGAGGAGGTGGAGGTGGTGATGTCAAACAGCTAAGTGGTACAGATAACAAGAATACACTAATACTGGGTGGGAACTGAGGATGTAGCCCAGTGGTGCTTCCTTGTACATGTGAGACCTGGGGTTCAGCCCTCTGCACACACCCCACCCCACTCTCTCACTCCTAAAATTGGTTACACGTTTTGAATATACAAAAACCCCTACCTACAGAGTTGTGTGAAATGTTACGTTGTAGAATATGTGAATTAAGTTATCATTACAGCTAATACTAAAAAAAAAAAAAAATCCTTCCTCCAGGATACATATGGTCCAGAAGTAGGGTGTGGAGAGATAGTCTCTCCCTGTAGTCCTCCCCGCAATTGGACTACTGATTTTTTTTTTGGGGGGGGGGCATCGCACCCCGCCCTGCTCAAGGCTTATTTCTGGCTCTGCTCCGGGATTGGTCCTGGCAGTGCTTGGGGAACCGCATGTGACACAGGGAATCCCAGTCAGGTCAACTGCACACAAGGCAAACCTGCTACCGACTGACCCGGCCTGCACAATCCCCCAAGGACGCTCGCGAGACCCAGTCTCTGTGGTTCAACAGAAATCTGTCATTCACCAAGCACCTCTGGGTGGCCCTGCAGAGGGCTCAGTGGTCCCCACCAGCTGTTTCTCAGACACCCTCCTCCCTCGTCCATCATAGCCTAGCCTGGTCAACCTAAACTGTGTGACCCTGGGCGAGTCTCCTCCCCACCCCCACCTGTCAAACGGAAGAGGTTTCCCTTAAGACAACCCAACTGAGCTGCTCATCCCCCACGCAAAAAGAAAAAGAAAAAGAAAAACCACCAGGACAAACTTCTTGTTCGCACACGCAAAAGACATTTACATCTTAAAACCCCAAGTTCCAGGCCGGCAGATGCCAGACTCCCAAGCTCCTCCCTCCTCGGCTTCGGAGCAGCTCCCGGCAGGCTGGCCCGGCCGTCTCTGGCATCTCCCAGGGCTCGTTTCCTCGACTTGGGCCCGAGCCCAGATCTCTGGGCTGGCGAGGCCAGGCTTTCGAGGGAAGGGTGCCCCCTCCCAGCCGGGACACCTGGAGGTGCGGCTGCCCCGAGGTGCCTCTCCCCTGCACCGGCGGCGGCGGCGGCGGCGGGGATGCGGGCTCCAGGGTGCAGCCGAGGCGCGCACCCGGCTGTCTGCGTGACCGGCACCAACTCCACCCCGGGCTGCGAGGTCCCGGGGGTGGGTGGGGGCTGCGAGGACGACCCCTCTTAGCGCACGCACGGCGTCCCCCGGCCGCCCCTGAGCCCAGTCCGGAGGGGGGGAGGGGGTTGCCCACTTACACGCCGGACACACACACACCCCCCTCCCACCCGGCCACTCCGCCAGCCCCCAGGCGACGACTGGAGCCTCATCCTCCGGGCCCTGCCAGCCCCAGCATCGCCCCCACGGCCACCCCCCACCCACCATAACAAAGCACAGCTCCTCTACAAACCCACCCCAGCACCGCCCCCGCCGGGCAGCCCAGGTAACCAGCCCACCCACGGTCTCCGCAGACGTCACACAGCAGCGCGGGGTTCGGAGCCAGCGCTCGGGACGCGGCCCCCCCCGGGCGCCCCTCCCCCTCCGCTCCGCCCGCGGCCCCCACTTCTCTGACAACCCCCCCACCGCCCCAAAGTCCGGGCCCCGACCCTAGCCCCGGGGCCGCGCGCCCGCACAAAGCGCGCAGCCTCCGCCGCGGCGGGCCAGGCGACCCCGAGCACATGGCTCCCGGGGCGCGGGGGGCTCGGTGGCAGCGCGGGCCGCCCCCCTCCACCGCTCGGGCGCACCCGCGACCCCCTGGCCGGGGCGGGAGAAGGCGGGGGGGCGCGCTCGGGAAGAGAAAGAAAAACTCACGTGTCGCTCGGTCCCCGGGGCGGGGAAAAAAAGTTTGGTTCCCACCGCCCTCCCCCGCCGCTGGGGGCCGGCGGAGTCTCCGGGGCGCGGGGCCGGCCGAGCCTGCGCGCTCGGCTTTGTGCTCCGAACTCGGCCCGGAGGGGGAGGGGAGGGGGCTGGGCTCCCACCTCCGCGCCGCCCCCCCGCCCGGACTCCATGTTGGCCGCCCCCGGCCCGGGACGCGGCGCCCCGGCCCCCCCCCGCCCGCCCGCCCCGCTCGGCCCGGCCCGGCCCGGCCCGGGGGGTCCCGGCGCGCACCAAACTTTCCGGGCGCCGCCGGCCCCACGCGCCCCGCGGCCGCGGCCCGCCCGGGAGTGACAGATGCCGCGCACACAGACTTTCCTTTGTTCCGAAGCGAGGGGAACTCGCGCGGGCTCCCGGGCCACCCCCGGCCGGGCCCCCGCCGCCGCCGCCGCCGCCGCCCCCGCCCGCAGCTGTCACTCCGCGCCGCCCCCTCGGCCGCCCGGGGGGGTGGGGGCTGCCGGCGGTTAGCAACGTGCACTTTTGAAACCAAACAAACCCGCCCCCCGCGCGCCCACCCGGCCCGGGACGGGGGCCGAGCCCGGGAACGGGGGGCGGGGGTCTCCCCCGGCCGGGCCCCCACCCCCACCCCGGACACTTCCCGGCCGGCCGGCGGCCCGCGCCCCGCGCCCGGGACCCCCACGCCCTCGCCCCCGCCCCGCCGGAGAAACTTTCCGAGTTGTCCGCGCGCCCCCTGCCCCCTGGGCCCGGCGCCCCGCACTGACTTCTCTCGGCCCCGCTCCTCTCCGAGCGGCGGCTCCGTCCACGCGGCGGCGGCGGCGGGCGGGTGGGGGCCGGGGGGCCGGGGGCGCGCGCCGCGTACCTGCCGGGCCTGACACCCGGCCTGACAGCTCGCGGCTGGAAAGCACCTCGCGGCCTGACGTCAGATCCCCTCTCCTCCCCCACCGGCCCGCGGGGAGAAAACAAACTTTGTGCGGAGCGCGGCGAGCGACGCCCACTCCCCGCGGGGCGGGCCGGGGCCGCGAGGGGTTGCGCCCCGCCCACCGCGCCCGAGGGGCGGCGCCGAGCGGGCACCTTCTTCCTGCGCCCAGCCCCACCCGCAGGAATGCCACATGGCCCCGGCGGAGGCGCGGTGGGAACCCCGCGTCGGGGGGCAGGAAGTGGCCCGTGCGCCTGGGCGAGCGCGCTTCCGGAGCGCCTACTGTGTGCGGCGCGCGCGCGGGGCCCGGGGGTCCGGCCCGCGCCCCGCCCCGCCCCGGGACGCGCGCGTACTCGGGTGGTGGGGGGGCCGCGCCGGGGTGGCTGGTTCCCGTCGCTCCCGGAGGCAACTGAGGCCCGGCCAGTCCGGGGTCGAGCCCCACCCCACCCCCCACTCGGTGCGGCGCCCCCGCCGGTAGGCCCGAGCCCCTTGTCCACCCCCCAAAAGTGCCTAGCAGCCTCCGGGGCTCCTAGGCTGGGGGCCCCCAGGAGGTCAGAACCGCCCACCTTCCCGGGATGTTGATGATGTGCTGGCCCTGACCCGCGGGGGGCGCTGCTGCGGCTGTGCTTGTGCCCCCCCTCCCCCAACACACACACACCAGGTTAGGGGTGTTCACCTGACACACCCCACCCCCAACACACGCACTCCGGCCGAGGGGTGCATGACTTGCTTCTTGTCAACCCGTGTCCTCTGGCCCGGGTGGCCGCGCAGCAGAACCTTAGCCGGGCCCCATGGTGGGACCCTCTGAAGGCAGGTCCTGGGACGCTTGGCTGCTCCTTCCCTCTGCCCGCAGTACCCAACTCTCAGAAGCGCCTTTCCGCGGCTTTCCAAAAAGGCTGCACGCGGCTCACTCCCTGCCCTTCTGGCATGGCCTTCTAAAAAGGCCCTGGTGATAACCCCTGGGCCTGTGCAGTCAGCCTACCCAGAACTGAGCAAGGCCTTTTCTGGGCCTTTGCTTCTTCGTCTAATCCTAAATGTCTGGAATCCAGGGCTTTGTAAATCAGCCTAGAAAAAAAAAAAAGTTTGAAAAAGAAAAAAAAATCCCATTGTTTGGGATGGAACCCAAACTCAAACAAGGCAAGTGCTCTATACTAGCTACTTACCTGGCCCTTGAAAATGAGTTTGGGTGTGTGCTTTTGTGTGTGTGTGCATGTGTGTGAGTGTGTTTTAGGATCTGATCTCTGGGGTGCTCTGAGGCTACTGGTTCTGTACTGGGCAGCCTCCCAGGCAAGCTCCTTAACCCCTGTACTATCTCTCCGGCCCATGACTTTTGGTCTTAATTGAGCTTTAGCAATGGAGAACTCTGGGACCGAACTCAATTCTCCTAACAAACCCTCAGCCAACCAGAGTGCTGATTAAATAAATGACTGTGTGGGTACACCAGGACTCCTGCAAACGTTCAGAGCTTAGCTGGCCATTCTGCTCCTCAGTTCACAGGTGAAGCAACAAGCCCAGTGTGGGGTTCCCACACAGTTTCCTGGGGGATGAGAGCTCTGTCCACAGCCTTCTCCCAGAAAATGGGAGTTTGGAGCAATTGTGGGTAAGAAAGTTTATATGCCTAGATCCAGCGGCTAAGATTACAGAGCAGGGATGGGCAAAGACGGGCAGAACAGAGGTCTGGAGAGGAGGTGGGGGAGGTGGGGAATGCAACCAGGGAGCCTGAAGACCAGCCACCTCCCCACAAAAATCACCAGCCCCTGAGCTTCCTGATTTTTATGCTGGAGAATATGTGCGAGGAAATGGAAGAGCAACTAAGGAAAGCCTCGATACCTAAGGTTTGAGATTTTTGTTTAGGTATGTTTAAACTTTGTTTTGGGGCTACACTGGGAGTGCTCAGGACTTCCTCCTGACTCCCAGCTCAGGGATCACTTTTGGCAGGGCTCAGAGGACCCCATGGGGTGCTGGGGATTAAATCTAGGCTTGCCACTTGCAGGGCAAGTACAGTAAACCCTGTACTATCTCTCTGGTCTCAAGATTTGAGAATTAAACCTTAAAAGTTTTTCAGCTAGTGTGTGTGTCCTCCAAGCCAGTAATTCCACTTCTAGGAATAATCTATCATAAGAAATGATCACAGTGCAAAGATAAATACTTGTGCAGGGCTGTTTTTTGCAGCACTGTTTGTTCTGGTGGAAAATGGCAAACAGCTGCATACCCCTCACCGGGAGCTGATTGATTGGTTAAGTTGAGTTTGGGCCCGGGCACATCAGGATGTGATAATGAGGTAAGAGTGTGCCCCGAACTTGGGGGATGAGCGAGGTTTATTTATCACGGTCGTTTGCACTGACCCAACTAGAAGGGCTTTGGATATGTCTGATGAGAACTCGCATGAGAAGTTTTTAATTGTCTTTTTTCCTTTGTGTGTGTGTGTGTGTGTGTGTGTGTGTGTGTGTTGGAGGGGGTCACACTCAGCAGTGCTCAGGGGCTACTCCCAGTTCTGTGCTCAGAGGTCACTCCTGAAAATGTAGAGGGGACCATTTGTGGTGCCAGGGACTGAAACAGGATGCTGCAAGGCAAGCGTCTTAACCCAAGTTTTCTCTCTTCGACCCCCTTATTGTCATCTTCTGCTCACCCACTTTTACTCCCTGCCCCTCTTTCTGGGTATGTGAAAATCTTGGGTCCCTGAGAGAAGACTGGACTTGCCTGATAAGGACTAGGAAGGGAAGGGGGGGCATCGGAGCCAAGCCCCACCCGTAGCCTCTGGGAGGCCCCTGTAGGAAAAGGAACTGAAGGCCCCTCAGGTCGGAATACAGAAAAACCCTTCCTGCCCCCAAACAGGAAACACCCTATCGTGAGTTTCATCGGGTTTCCTCCTGAGGATGGGGTGCCTTGCTAAGGTGCATGATTCTTGTGATTTGGTCATGTAAGGTGCAAACAAATGTCTTGTAAATCTGCTTGCACATTCAAAAGAGAAAAGCCCCATGCTAATACGGGGCGAGGGACGCGTGTGCCCCGGGAGTGGGCCTGAGGTTGGCTAGTTTCTGGTTCCATCAGCAGAGGGGCGCTTGGGGCAGAGGAGAGCCTAGCCAGGGCCTGGCTCAGTGAGTACTTACTTAAGCTCCTCGAGGCAGTACTCAGGGGCTACTCCTGGATGGGATCTCAGGGGACTCTGGGATGCTGGTGTTTGCCTCTTGCATGCAGTGTCTGCACTCCAGCCCCTCGCACCAGCTCGATGGCCCACGCCTGGCAGTGTTCTGGAGACCATATATATGGTCCGGGGGCCACACGCAAGGGAAGCAGCACCTTACCTCCTGTTCTCTCTCTGGCCCGCACCTTCCTTCTTTAAAACTACCTAGTATCTTGGGTCGGAGAGGTAGTATAGCAGGCAGGACACTTGGCTATGCACATCGTCAAACAGGGTTCGATCTCCAGCACCCCACTTGGTCCCCCTAAAGCCCACCAGGCGTGATCCCTGAGCACAGAGCCCGGAGTAAGACTGGAACACAGCTGGGTGTGGCTGAAAAAAACGGAAAATAAAAAAGAAGCGAAGGATATATTATCTTGTCAGTTAACCACAAATTGTTTCGCTTACCCCTGGCAGTTGGGTATCTACTCACTCAGTTCTTTTATTTATTTTGGTTTGGGGGCCACATCTGGGGGTGCTGTGAGGGTCACTCCTGGACACAACCCGGGCCTCCCGAATGCAAAGCAAGCTCTGCCCGTGATCAGCCCGTTGAGCTCACTCAGCCCCTCAGTTAATTTCCAGGTCGCCTGAGCGTGTGTCAGGCGGAGGCACGGAGCTGGGAGACCCTCTCAAAGGGTTTGGGCCCGGTGCCAGGTGGCAGAAGGGGTTGGAACTTGGCGCTGCCGGCTCCGTGTGGCAGACGAGTCACCCAGACCCGTTTAGTCTGTTTTCTTTGTGGAACAAGCAGGGGCCCTGGTGAGGGACAAAGCAAACAATGGCTGGGAAACTCTCTGAGCCGTGGGAGCAGAGGCTGCGAGTTCCCCGAGCGCTGAGGGCAGAATGGAATCTGAGAACCAACCTCACCTGAGTCTCCGTTTCCTTTTCTGCATCTGGGAGAGGAGAAGGTTGTCCAGGACGATTCCAGCGATCTCTTCCTGGACTGGGCAGGGATAGGGCTCAGCAGGAGAACCTACCTGCCCTACCTACCTGCCTGGCCGGGGTG